AAAACAGGCTTCTGTACATCAAGTACTTCAAAAAACAGCAACAAACCGTATTTATTCCTTGGAAAGCTGATCACACAAAAGGTCACAAAACAGAAGATTCACGAATCACGAATATTTCTATCTGCCATTCACGGGTCACGGTTAAATCAAATCTTTCCTTCACGTGCACGTAAAAAGATTGGAAGTCATACCATCACAAATCACGGATTAAGAAAATTATCGATCACGTTTCACGGCTAAGTAAAATAAGCCCATCACGCTTCACGCAAAAAGTATAGGGGGCCTCTTATAACAACTTGTTTGCAGAGAAAATCAAAGTTAAAGTTTATGTAAATCGTGATTATTCAATGTGCTTGAGACACGTCTACATAATAAGAAAAAAAAATTCTCATTATGTAAACACATCTCAAGGGGATTGAATCACCCCAAATCAACCCACAAAAGTCAATTACACATTGTAGTAGTGGTAAGAGACCTTATTTCTAAATTTAATACAGTATTTTAGCATTTTTTGATAATACATATCCAGGCATACTGAAGCTAATATAAAAATACAAATATATCCCAACCACATGAAAGTTTGGGATGTTGTGGTCTAAAAGTTCATTGTTGTGCAAGTATCTGGTCGTTTCTTCCCCTTGCTGTTTCTTCCAAGCTTGTTTCGTCTCCTTTATGTTTCATCCCCACACTAGATACTGTTTTCTCTATAAACTACTTTATCTTACATTTTCATGAACTATATATACATAAGATATATTTATTTTCGTGTCTACTTTTATGAGATTGTATCTCAGTGGTTGTATGCTGGATATAATACACATTTTTGTATTTAAATTCTGAAACTTTGAAATGTAACTCAAATATTTGGCTTTTATTTCACAATAACAGTGTTGTCAGTGACTATTATAGTGACACTTCACTTTAGTTTATTTTAACAGGAACTGAGGGAAACTAGACCAATGACTGCGAATGGCAATGATCGGTTTAGACATCAGACCAGAACGAAGTCGAACAGGGACCGTTTCGTTTTGGTCATAGTATTATTTATAGTAGTGGCCGAGGTAGTGGCATGATGACAAAATCATGAGTGATCAAAGTAGAAACAAATATAAATATATCTTATGTATATATAGTTCATAAAACGTAAGATAAAGTAGTTTACAGATAAAACGCTATCTAGTGTGGGGACGAAACATAAAGGGGACGAAACGGCAATGGGACGAAACGACCATAAAACGTTGCGCGATCAATCGAAAAAGTTTATACCCTCATTCGGCACTATTTGGAAGGTTTTAACTGGACGATATGAAAGAACAGACTCTAGTGGACTTTATAACATAATAAAACTCTTACCTTTTTGTTTTAGACACGCTGATATTCTGCTTCAACCTTGTTTTCCAAACCATTGGGAAGTTATTAATACGGAAGTACTCACATGACCATTCTGAAGACATCACCACAGACATGACATTCGATATGGTGTCGACTCACTCATTTCAATCACTCAGAAGTAAAAATGTATATAAACCATTTCTTCTCATATCTATGTTTCTTCTCTATTATCTCCGATCAGGGCATTTTCTAAGAAATGCAACTACTGGGGCCAAGTCTCAATGAGGGCCTTTTCCCCGCACAGTGATGCCTATAATTTTTCGTAATTTTTTCCTACATTTCTCTAAATTTTAGCTACAATTCTTAGTTTTTAATCAGTGTCACTCAAATATTTCAGTTTCTTTCCTTCCTATCCAACTGGGATTAGATCATTTGCCGACTACCTGACGACTGGAGGTGTTCCAACCCCCGCCCCCCACACCCCCCTTTAGTGCCACCCCTGCCTGTTCTGACTTTCATAAGATGGAATGTCAAGAATGTGAGAAGATATGAGAAAGCAGGCAGCTTTTTCAAAAGCGCCCAGTTCGTCTGAAAATCTTGCTTCACTACTGGAGCAAGCAAAGGGCTTACTGGGGTAAATGCCCCAGTAGTTATATTGAAATTATATAGTTAAAAAATGCCCTCCTTCTCTTCCAATAAATTAGAAAAAAAGTAGTCATATATACAGTTCTATTAACTAGTTAATACCTTAAAGTTTTATTGCACACGAACCAACAAACGCGCCTCAAAGCAGTCCGAAAAGACATTTTCTTAACAATTACATCCGGTGCCAAATATAGCCTATACTAAAATAACTATCAAGAATTGTTTTTAAATATATAAATTTCGCGACCGCTATTCTATAGGAATAATAGGACTTTCTTAAACTTTCATATATTGTATAAATTATATGCTCTTTCATTTGGTTACTCACACGCAGAGATTTACACGTAAGTGGTGCAAGCCTATATAAACAAGCGACAATCCGTCTCAAAATGGACTATTATGTCA